ACACTCCTATTCAGAACTGGCAAAACCCACTTCAATCTCAGTTGTTGGTTCAGCCACTCCTTTTTTCCATCTAGTTCTTTTGACATGATTCTATTTTAATATACTTACTCATTTGAAATCAACCCTAAATTCTGTTCTTACTTACCATCTAGCTCAAGTGCTCTGAGATTCCCTATTTTGGGCAATCTAGTCTGGGATTTTTTACAAGTATCATGCAAATGATAACATAAGGAAGTATTAAGAGCCTGTGGTTTGGATTCAGGTAACTCTGGTTTAAGACTTGCGTAGGTTGCAAATTTTTAATATTAAAACAAAGTTAGTTAATCATGCTTTTGGCACATAAGAAATCACGTTAGTTCTTTTTTCTTAGTTCTGCAGGTAAGATTCCCTACTTTTAGGTTCAGTCCACATGATCTAGATAAGAGACTTAGTGTCTTCAGAATACCCAACTTTGGAAGAAAAAATAAGCTATACCTCGCAACAAACTCCCATGCTGTTATATCCAGAAACTATTTTGAGAAGGGTTTTATAGTCTCAGTAATTTAAGACTGCTTTTGGAGAGGTGGGATGAAGCATGGTTAACTAAGTTAATCAAGTTAAGGCTGTATATTCCCATCTTTGAGATTGCTGTGATGTTGCACTGCACTTTCTCAGTGGGCAAGTGAATTAGATACAGACCTGGGTTGGTGGGGTGATTTGGACACAGACCCATTGAAAGTGCTACATCTTGAGGAACAGGAAGGAGTAATGTGGAGGGAGTGAGGGACATCATCCTCTAAAACCAGGAACTGAAGAGCTTGCACACTGAGTCTGAGGGCAGAGGCGACTGTATCTGATTTTGCTTGGGTGCCAGGACTGAGTTCACACCATGGTGGAGGAAGTGGGCCATGCAGTTCCTGCTGTTTCTTTCCTAGTGCTGAACTTTGTGGCTTTGCTACTTGCCCAGCCCACAAGTTCTGTGTGGTTCTTGAACAGGTTCAGGTTTTGTACCAACATCCAGGGTTCATAGCCTAAGGAGTGAAGAAGCAAACAAACAAAACTTCCAAGCTGCCATACGCGTGTGTACACACACACACACACACACACACACACACACACACACACACACACACACGCAAACAAATTTAAAAAACCCTATCTAGTGCTCACATATTCCACCCTAGTTTATTCCTTGAGCACCTTGGTTGAGAGGAATTTCAAGCTACTTTATCTGTGACTCATTTTCTCTCAATACCTGGAGGATAGTACAAATGAAAGAATAGTGAAACCCTTGACCAACACCCTTCCCCTGGGGACATAGCCTTAAAAAAATCAGAGAGAAACTTTACTCAATTTATACTATAGATGCACCTCAGTTGAGAAATAATTTTAATTTTTTATTTTGTGTTAATTTTATTGCGTTTTTGTTTTATTATGCTTGTAGTATGTCTGTGCATGGCTCACAGAGTATAAAATTATTAGTAATATGAAATTATTTCACAGAGTATGAAATTATTTTAAAAGCCCAGTGAAACATGAGAAAATACAGAAAAAGAGTTAGGAGGATAAAGAATACAGCAAGAATACAAATAAGAAATTGAGCAAAATAGAAATATAGAGTTTTTCAAAAAGAATCAACAAGAAAACTTGGAAATGAAAAGCCAAATAAATTAGAAAAATTTTTATTTGAAAGGTTCAATGACAGACTAGATCAATTAGAAGAAAGAACTTTGGAACTTTCAGACAGATTTTTCAATATATCACATTCACACACAGACAGATATACTAACAGACACACAGAGAAATCCAGTTTTTTTTTCTGAGAACCATTAAAAAACTAAACATCAAATGAATGGCAAAGTTGAAGGGAAAGAATAAATGTTCAGGTCATAGAAAGACAAAGGAAATAACGGAAATATTCCCTAACACCAAGAAAGAAATAAACATTGAGGTAAGAAAATGAAGGTATTTAAAACCTCAAATAGACATGACTAGAAAAGAACCTCACCATGATATCTTATAGTCAGCCTTTAAAATTACAAGACAAAGAAAAAAAATCTAGGTTTGGCATGGTGGGTCACATTTATAATACTATCTACTCAAGAAAGAGAGAACAGGAGCTTTATAGCTAGAGGCCAGAATGAGGAAAAACTAGTCAAACCACTATCTCAATGAATTAGTATGTGGTGGGTGGCATGCATGTTATTCCAGCCCTGAAGAAGGTATAAGTAAGAAGATCATGGCTGAAGCCAGCCTCAAGCACAAACAACCATACGTTGTTTCTAACAAATACCAAAATAGAACTATCATATGATCCAGCTATATCACTCTGAAGGAAATAATGTCAGCATACAAAAACATACCCATATGCCTAATTTATTACAGTACATTTTACAGTAGCTAAGATATGTAATTTGTATAGGTACTCATCAACATATGAATGGACAGAGAAAATATCACACACACACACTCAGAAGAGTATTATTTAGCTATAAGAATAAAATATTGTCACCTGCAACAAAAGTAACTGAATGAAAATGGATGACATAGTTATGTAAAATAAGCTAGATTCAGAAAAACAAATATTGCACATTCTTGGTCTTATGTGGAAACCAAAAACAAAATTGAATAATGAAATGAATTCATTTTACACATGCATTCAGCAAACTTGATAAAGTCAATAAACTCTTTGTTCACGTATTCATACCTAAGCTCAAATGGGTTCTATCAGAATTTCTTTCTCAAGAAAATAATTTCTCCCTGAAAAGTTTATGAAGCAAACATAATGAGATGAGCAGTAGGAAAACCTTGAAGTTCTGCCTGATAATTGCAAACATTTTTTAATAAAGCAGAAGAAAAGAAGCTCAAACAGTATTCAGTGGTTTGTCGACTTAAGGAGGAAGATTAGATTTCAGAGGATCAACACAATTGATTTTGTAGGTTACCATATTAGAGGAAAAAAGGAACAATGTGGAAAATTCCAGAAACACAAAAGGCATTGTAACTGCTAAATTATAATCTGTACCTCCAAAGGGTAAAATCTATAAAGTGGACAAAACTGGTCTTTCGAAAAGACCATTATGAGAACATTATCAGAACATTATCAGAGAACTACATACAAAACACTTTCTAGCAAGTAAACAGTACACACCGTGGCTATTTTGACTTCCCAATAGTGTGTGCACAGAGACTTCTGTAAACACATGGCAGATTCAGCAGAGACATTAGAAAGGTTTGTCTTTGTTTGTAGGACTGAACTTCCTCACAGCAAGTTAACTCTAGACTAAACTTGTCCTTAAGAAGATTTTTAAAGAGATTCAAAACTATCAAGCTTAACTTCAAGGAAATGGTCTGAAATTTTCCAACCCTATTTACAGGAATAAAATAAAATCCAGCATGCAGCAATGCAAAATTCAGTTCTTGCATCCAGTAAAATATTATTAAGTACTCACTGGAGCAAGAGGAAAAAAAATATGTGTAGGACAAGTTCACCATGGGAAAGATGATTGCATAAACAGAATGTTAAACATTAAAATAAAATGGGTAGTATAGTCAAAGATTTTTTTAAGTGAAAATATGGAGCAGAAAAACATTTAAAAAAAAACTTCCCAAATCGGATTTTTATACAGGTGATAAACTTGGTATTTAAAATTATAATATGCACTAGATATGATTAGAGAAATTTAGTCATTGTAAGTTTTTGTTTAATCTATGAATGAAGATATGGAAGAAAATAGATTTAATATGAAAACCACAGAAGAAAGTCACCAAGGGAACACAGTAGTGGCCTGTGGCTGAGGATCAAGTGGTCTACTTACATAAAATTGGAAACTAGAGAAAGTGGGGTATCAAAACATTTGAAGAAACAATGATCCTACCATGTCAAAAATTGGTGAAAACAATAAAGTTGAGATCCAAGGAGCTCAAGTTCATCAAACTCCAAACAGCAAATACATCCAAACCACACCAAGGCCTCATCCAAATCAAATTTCTGAAAATCATTGATAAACCAAAACTTTTGATGACAATGAAATAAAAGGCACATAATATGAACAAAAGATGAGAATCACCTATTTATCAGAGATTATGAATGCCAGAAAATGATTCCAAATATTTTAAAACATTGAAAAAGTAATAACAAACTAAAGAAGGTGGCAACATAAAATCCTACTCTCAGAAAAAGTCTTTTTGAAATAAGGATGAAAGCCAGATCCCAAATCAATCACTTAGCAGTAGATCTATAAAACAAATACTCAGGGAAGTTCATTAGGCCAAAGTGAAAGAAGAGAAAGAACAGAGTCTATCAAGCTTTAACTAAAGCATTTACATTGCACTGCAATGTAAATATAATGTTATACATACAGTAGTATCATGTAGTAAGATATAATATCTAATAATCATAATCAAATATAGAATTGACATTGAAATGGCAAAATTATAAAATTGTAATTCTAAAATTATTACATCTTAACAATAAGTAAATAGCAGTGATTTACAACTGCTGATAACAAATAATCACAAATTAAGCTGTTAGAATTAGGCACATTTATTTATATCATGGTTTCTATGGAGTTCAGAAAAGTAGGGTGTCACAGGTTTTCTGAAAGAATGCTCTTCTGTGCTCAAGAATTCATTCACTTGTAGTTGTAAATCGGGCATCCTTTTGTTTTTCTTGCTGGTCACATACTGGACTCCATCTTCAGATCTTAAAAGCTGCACAACATTTCTTACAACATGAGGTTCTTCAACATATCTGTTTGCTTTAGCAAGCTAACAAGAAGTACCTCTACCTCTAATCTGCTTGCATGTATTTATGCCATATAATATAGTTAGGAAATGATAGCCCTCACCTTTCACCAACTATAACAATCCTAATCAGCTGTGATATCGATCACCTTTGTCAATTCCTCTGACAAGATGTGAGACTCAGGTTCTACCCACCCTCCAGGGCAGAGGATGTGAAAATCATGTTAGGATCTGTTGACTTTGATTTTTTGTGAAAAATTATCCACTAGCTTCAAGAAAGAAGGTATATTTAATTTTTTAAATGCTCCTCTATCATTCTAATGAGGTCTTGATAAATTTCTCGTGGTGCATCCTTTCCAAGCCAAAAATCCATGTGATTGTAGTGTGGAATATTCCTGTAATAAATAAGGTTTGCAACTTTAGGAAGTAACTCTTCAGTGTCCTTAATATCAGCCACGACATCCTGTCCACCACTCCAGATTGCCATGGGAACTTCCATCTTAGTAATGTTGTAAAATGGAGGCGTAGACTACATGTAAGAAAAGAAATGGAGAGAAATAAATCCACACAACAGAAGTAAACCTAACTTGTTAGCAAGTTACAAGAAGTGAAATGATCAGGTGTTAAACAAGTTTTTCAAACCCCAAAGTATACAATCGATATACATTGAATGATCTATAAAGATAAAGAACTATATTAACTTTCCATTGTTACCACACAATGCCCGAGTATAACTTAAAAGGAAGAAATGGGTCTGGGAAGGTGGCTCAGTGGTAGTGTTTGCCTTGCATGCCTGAGGCCCTGTGTTGATTCCTCAGCACCATATAAGCAGAAAAAGCCAAAAGTGGCACTGTGTCTCAAGAGGTGGTGCACTAGCCTTGAGCTGAAGAGCTGAGGGACAGTGCCCAGGCCCAGAGTTCAGGTCCTACAACTGACCAAAAAAAAAAGGAAGAAAGAAGTGGTAAGCTCCTGGGTTTGATCCACAGCACCACAAGCAAACAACAAGAAAAGAACACACAAAAATATGCACTGGTATGGAGGTTCATGCTTGTAATTCCAGCACTCAAGTGACAGGCAGGAGAATTGTGAGCTTCAAGCCCGTCTAGCCACATAGAAGTTCAGCACAGCACTGGTTACATAGTGATACTCTGTCTCCAAAACAAACAAACCAACACAAAGCAAAAACAAAAAATAATTTAAAAATTTCCACATCTACACATTACCAATTTCAAAACCTCATCTATGTCAGATGACTTCTTGTTCAGTTAGTATTTATGCAAAGATGTCAAAACAACCAGTGGATCTTCCAACATAAGGGAAAATAAGAACAGCAATATCTACTTTCTTTGGATATGGAAAATTTATTCTAAAAGTATGAATAGATACTGTCACAAAATATCATGACACTCATTTCCCAGCAGGTAGTGACAATTTTTCTTTGAGGTGATATTTCTGATAAGTATAGCTTTTGTGATCCAAACAGTGGATTTGTAAGAATGTAATTAGCAGATGGCCTCCTAAAGAACTATATAAACATTATTTTAATAGAGATAGATTAAAAAGGAAGAGAATTCCCTTTTGAAAGAATTATGTATTTTCAAGTTCCCTTTTCTAAATACAGTGGAACTCAACCTAGGGTTTCTTCTTACTTCTTTGTGATGGAAAAAGTATGGCTATTAGATCCAAGAATCTCTAGGCAATATTTTGTTTATTTGCTAGCTAAATGACTTTGGCAATTTAATTATCCTTCTTGAACCTCTGGCACAAAAATGAGGATAGTCATTGAGAAGATGGAAATAACAGTCTGGCACATGGTAAGCCCCAAGAAGCAGCATGGGATAGAAGCAATAAACAATTGCCATCCTAGTGAATGGGAAGTGGTAGGGAACTAACGTGTGATCATTATTTTTAGTGATTAATTTGTAGTATGCGCCTAATTGGGGTTATTATAACTGTACCTGATGGAAATGCATCATATTCTTGTCAGGGCTTCCCCAGTCATAAGCTTGGAGCTGACCGGAATTAACAGCCTAAGACAGAACAAAAGTAATACACATATTCAAATGATATGAGAAGATGGCACACACTGAGAGTTTACAAGTAAGAAATGCACAAAAGAATTGATTTTATACCCTTCTCCTCAGGCACATGAATTGCATTTCAATAAAGATTAATCAGACCAGCCAGGAGCCAATGGCTGATGAGACCTAAAGGATTATACTTGAAAGCTATTTAAGATACAAAAGTCTGGGAGACTATTTCCCCAAAACAACTAGCAAAAAGCAAAGGCTTAAACTGTGGATCAAGTGGTAGAGTATCAGAAATGAGGAAACAATTGAGTGAGCATAATGCCCAAGATAAATCAAATAAAAAATTAAACGTGAATACAAGGAGTCCAATAGTATAACTCCTTTGAACGACTAACAAAGCACTCAGCAAAAGGAATATTAGGAGGCTGCAGCATTTCTGGGGTGAGAGGGGGAAGCAAATGAGGGTGGACAAATATAAGGAGAAAGGGTGAGAAAATACAGTCATTAAGTTCAAGGAACATAATGCAAAAATTGAACGATACAACCTGAAGGAAAGGCTGTGATGGGAACTGGAAGGAATGATGGAAGTGATGACGCTGATCAAGATACATTGTGCTATAGCCCGACTTCTAGAATTGAAGCCATCTTGTATAACTAATTAACAAGTATTTAAAAATGGATACGAATGTACATAACTTTCAAAGGATTTGGCTTTCTTCCAATACTTTGCCACTGACAATCCTCCTACATCAATGTAGCAACACTGAAAATTTGTTTGAAGAGTACTGATTTCCTTCTTCCTTCCTTCCTCCCTCCCTCCCTTCCTTCCTTCCTTCCTTCCTTCCTTTCCTTTCCTTTCCTTTCTTTCTTTATTCTTCCTTCCTTTCTTTTCTTTCTGTCTTTCTTTCTGTCTCTTTCTTTCTTTCTTTCTTTCTTTCTTTCTTTCTTTCTTTCTTTCTTTCTTTCTGTCTTTCTGTCTGTCTGTCTTTCTTTCTGTCTTTCTTCCTGTCTTCCTGTCTTTCTTCCTGTCTTTCTGTCTTTCTTCCTGTCTTTCTTTCTTTCTTTCTTTCTTTCTTTCTTTCTTTCTTTCTTTCTTTCTTTCTTTCTTTCTTTCTTTCTTTCTTTCTTTCTTTCTTTCTTTTCTTTCTGTCTTTCTGTCTGTCTGTCTGTCTTTCTTTCTGTCTTTCTTCCTGTCTTCCTGTCTTTCTTCCTGTCTTTCTGTCTTTCTTTCTGTCTTTCTTCCTGTCTTTCTTTCTTTCTTTCTTCCTTTCTTTTTCTTTCTTTCTTTCTTTCTTTCTTTCTTTCTTTCTTTCTTTCTTTCTTTCTTTCTTTCTTTCTACATATATAAGCAATATTGGGAGCTGAACTCAGAGTCTCATGTTTGCGAGGTAAGCACTTTACAACTTGGGCTACATCCAGAGGTCCACACTGAAAACTTTTACAAAGATGCTGTATACATTGGCTTCAGGAATTTATAAACATCTATTTTTTTTAAGTCCTGGTTTAACACTTCTATAGTAAAAAAATTTCCAGTATTTCTGCTAAACAAGTTTGTGGCTTATGATCCCCAACAAGTGGCCTAAACTATATTGACTATTGTCTGTCTTCAAACATTCTTGTCACCTGGAAAGGAATATTCACCCATTGAGTCTCCCTATTTCTCTGTGGGAGGTGTTCTGCTACCTGCTGTCTCTCAGTAGGACCAGCCATCCTGGGCTGGTTGTTGGAGACAATGAGCATGCTCATTTTTACATTGTGATGTTTACACAATTCATGAGAAATTTTCAGAAACCTGGGGTTTTCTTTTCTCTATTCTTTGTTGCCCACATTGAATTGATTTTTATGTTTACTGTAAGTATAGATGCCAATAAATTTTTCCCTCTTCACTTAGGTCTCAGATATTTTCCCCACTTACGGATTTAATCCTGAATGTTAATTTTTAAAATTAATTTTATCCTAAATTATATTTAAAGAAGCAGCAGTCTGCAAGCTTTCAGAAATGAGAGGTAATATACTGTTGAAGAACTTGGGCACTATTATCAAAGAATCTGGTTTGTATTCAGGCTTGCTGGAGGCCTGACTTTGTTATTCAAGGCAATATTATATTTGTGAAATGATAATGATGATAACATTCTTTTTATAAGATGGTGAGATTAAGAAGAATAATTATATAAAACACAAAATACCTTCTAGTGTTTAACAAATACTACTCCTCTTACTAGGATTATTCTGTGTTGAGTTTCCCTTATCTGAAATGCTGGGATTGGAAGTATTTTCAACATTGGAGTTTTGGGAATATTTTTATAGCTTTGTTCAGTTGAGGTAAACGTCATCAATTTTCTTTGTTCAGAAAAATCCCAAATATTAAGCTTTTCTAAATCCCAGATTTTTTAAACACAAGTGATAGATTAAAGAGTTTCAGCAGTACTATCATCATCATCAGCAACAAGAACAACAACCTTCCATTTTCCATTTGCCTAACATTAAACCAAATGTCTTGCCTTCAACACTACTTATTTCTACCCTAGAAAATACTTTGTATATAAGAAGAGTTCTGCTGAAAGAGAAATGAGCTGGGAAATATAAGATTGTTTGCTGTGACATTTGAATAATGGGAAGGAATGCCAACGCCCCATTGCAAGACTGTTGGTGAAGTTCAATTAGAGTAAAAGGAATCATTTCTATGAACAGTATAAATATAAGGTGAGTGTTTAGCGAGGAAGTGAACAATTGAATTTGGACGACTCAGGAAGCCAGGCACCTAAGAGCTGCTGCCTCACCAGCAGGAGGCCCTATTGCTCAGAACATCCTTTTTCCTAGATTTGCTGGACATATCTGCTGGGAGATACGGGCTTCAAAGCTGTTCAGAAATCCTGAAGCAGAATTTTTCATTCTCTCTGTAATAGTGACGATCGATTTGAACCCAAGGAATAAGTTTATTAGTATACATATTGAATTATACATGACTAGAGTTCTCTACATCCTTCCCCACATATCTGTCTGTATTTCTCTCTGTTTCTGTCTCTCTCTTTATCTCTCTCTCACACACACACGTGCACACGCACAAATTTCTCAACGCTGTATCAATTGACTTTGACTTATCTCAGAGCTTAATGAAGATTGAGCCTCAAACCTGAGGAAATGAGACAATTTTAAAGTGAGGGTAAAAATCCAAACCACTATTAATATCTCTTTAGCATGAAGTTTGCTAAGAATGTAAAATTATTTCCACATTCTGAAATGCCCTATGTGCCAACTAGAAGACAAGTTTTGCTGGTCCATGCTATCATTTACATAGGTTTTATTGCATAGGTTCTATTTACATGGGTTCTATTTGAACCCATGATGATTGCCCAGAAGAGGAGGGTAGAACCATCCCTGAAAAGGCAATGTGGAAGAATGAGAACTCCTTCAGAATGTGCAGGAACCCAGCTTGTCACCAAGACTCTGAAGTCAGGGAGAAAGGGGGAGTTGATGCTCACACATCATTGACAGGTGCCTCTCTGAGATCAACCCTCAGAGACCTCGCAGAGGTAGATCTGTGGCAGGAACAGGAAGCATACCTGGGCCCAGTGCAGCATGTTCTGAACAGATGTCCCCTCGGAGCTTTGTGACAGGTAAACGTCCAGGCGGCTCTGCAAATAGAGTATTTCTCATCTAGAGCCAAATCGTGGAATTCTATCACACATCAACCTTTGAGATACAGATAATTTCTTCGATTTTACATTTAGGATTAAAAAATATTTCAGCTTTCAGAACAATTTAAGGTTCACAACGTAAGTCACTAAGAATTATAAGGTTCTCATTGTTAATTCATCACCCCTATTCCCATGATCAACATTACACAGCACAGTGGAGCATTATTCTTTGTCCTTAACAAAAAAGAATAATGTATGTCATCCCCTCAGAAGACATACTAACCAAAATGGTATGATACCGTACTAGAGTTTGAAGTCAGGATCTCCAGCCTCTAGCTTTTGAGCCTGAGTTCTGGTTTTTGTGGGTTATTTGGTTTTGTTTTATTTTCAGATTATTTTTCAAGATTGGGTCACACGAACTTTTCTGCCCAGGCGAATCTCAAACTATGATTTTTCCACTCTCAGCCTCTCAAGTAGCTAGTATTCCAGACAGGAGCCACTGATGCCCAGGTAAAGAAGCCTGTCTTATTTTATTTCCTCTTGTTTTGGTACATATTTTATTGTAAAAATGTTGTACAGAGGGGTTACAGTTACATGAGCAAGGTAATGAGTACATTTCCTATTGAGCATTGTTGCCTCCTCCTTTGTTTTCCCCCTACCATCTCTTCCCTCCCACCTCCACAACCATCCCCAATCCCCCAGCGAAGTTGTAAAGTTTGTTTTCAACATAGTGTTTTGTATATCTCATTATCTCAATGGGTCAACCTGAATCCTTATTTAGCATCTTGTTTTGTTTCCCTTTCCCTCCCCGAGTTAGAGCAGTGTATATACAAGATGCAAGGCACCAACAACAAATACAGTGAAAATAGGGGTTATACCATAGGAGAGGAACATATACAGCAACAAAAATATCACATGGTACATTATAAATACGTTAGAAACAATAGCAAGCAAGAAAGAAAAAAGGTATTTGTGTTCCTATCTTAGGGTTCATTTCACTTAACATCGTCTTATATGGTCATATGTACAAAGCTTTTGGCCTTTTCTGCTTGTTCTACACATATACTAGTTATTGCGAATAAGGGACACCATGGGACCTATGTTTCTTTGGGCCTGGCTTACTTCACTTAATATGATTTTTTTCCAAGTTTTTCCAATTCCTAACAAATAGGGCAATGTCATTCTTTCTGATGGAGGCATAGAATTCCATTGTATATGTGTACCACATTTTCTTGATCCTTTCATTTACTGAGGAGATATGGTTCCATATCTCAGCTATGGTATAGTTGTGCTGGTAGCTTTAGTATGGTCTTGTTTGTGATCGTTTGGGTAGCCCAAAAGTGGGATTGCTGGGTCATAGGGGAGCTCTATGTGGAGTCTTTGAGGAACCTCCAAACTGCTTTCCAAAGTGGTTGAACAAGTTTACACTCCCACCAACAATGCAGTTGGGTTCCCTTCTGGCCACATCCCCTCCAGCATCTGTTGTTATTAGAGTTCTTGATTATAGCCATTCTAATTGGGGTGAGGTGGAACCTCAATGTTGTTTTGATTTGCATTTCTTTTATGACTAGAGAGGTTGAGCATTTCTTCCTATGCCTATTGTCTATTCTTATTTCCTCTTCAGAGAAGTCTCTCTTTAAGTCTTTAGTCACTTATTTATCAGGAAGTTGTTTCTTTGAGTATTTGTAGTTGGGGGATTTATTTTTTTGAGTTCCAAGTATATTTTAGATATGAGACCCTTGTCTTTTGTATGGCACTTCCATACAATCGTGGGCTTTCTGTTGATTTTGCTAGCTATGTCCTTTGTCATGCAGAATATAAAGAGGATCCAAATAGGGAAAAATGAAGTAAAACTCTCCCTCTTTGCAGATGACATGATCTTGTATTTAAAGAATCCCATGGATTCCACTCTCAAATTACTTGAGCTGATTCGAAACTCTGGCAAAGTAGCAGGGTATAAAATTAATCCTCAAAAATCAGTGGCTTTTCCATATGCCAACAATGAGAAGAGCACAGCTGAAATCAGGAAAGCAACTCCTTTTGTAGTAGCCTCACAAAAAAATAAAATACCTAGGAGTTAACTAAAGAAGTGAAGGACCTCTATGATGAAAACTTTTAACACCCGAAAAAGGAAATCAAAGCAGAACTTAGGAAGTGGAAAAACCTCCCATGCTCCTGAATTGGAATGAACAACATAGTGAAAATGGCAGTACTTCCAAAGGCTATCTAAAATTTCAATGCAATACCTATCAATATTCCAACCTCATTCTTCAATGAAAGAGAGAAGCAATCCAAAAATTCATATGGAACAATAAAAGATCCAAATACCAAAAAAGATCCTTAACAGAAAGAACAGTGCTGGAGGAATATCAATACTAAATTTCAAACTCTACTACAAAGCCATAGTAATCAAAACAGCTTGGTACTGGCACAAGAACAGACCTCAGGACCAATGGAATAGAACTGAAAACCCAGAAATGAACCCACAGACCTATAGCCATTTAATCTTCGATAAGGGAGCTAAAAAATAGAATGGAGGAAAGACAGCCTCTTCAGTAAATGGTGCTGGCAAAATTGGTTAATCACCTATAGAAAATTAAAATTAGATCCTTATATATCACCCTGCACCAGAATCAACTCCAAATGGATCAAAGACCTCGCAGTCAAAGCAGACACTCTGAAAACATTACAGGAAGGAATAGAAGAAACCCTAGGTCTTCTTGGCACAGGCTGAAATTTTCTTAGTAGAGACCCAGAAACACAACAAATCAAAGAAAGTTTGAACAAAGAAGCCTGTCTTTAAGAGAGCTCTCTTCTCCCCAGCCCTTTGTCTAACTTAAGCAGTGATTACTTATGGCCCACTGAGGGCGCCCCCTGGTGGAAGAAGATGGTAATACACCTTTTCTTTCCAGACATCCCACCGCACAGGGGCAAGAGTACAAGAGGTAAAGGACAAAGGACATTCAGCAAAAGCTTAGAACATAACACACTGGGAACAGGCGTAAGTGCTTTCGTTTCTCTTTGATTGAATTTAGAAAAAATATATTAAACATTCAATGGGACTTTGAAAGTTTGCAGGAATATACTTCCAGTGTATTTAGATTTCTTCTGGATTAAAAATTTAATTTTGTTCAAATTTTCAATTGCCTTTTTAAATAGAAAATAGTCATGTTTCCTACCTGAGTAAGCATTGGAATCACTTTGGAGATTAAAAGGAATAACTGGAAAGAAGTTCCTGAATAAAACTCTAAATCTCTAGGATTTCAAGATAGTTCTATTTTTGTCTCAAGTTCTACAGAAGTTTCTATGTTCCCTTAGTTATGCTATGCTAAAGTGAATTACCTTTCAAAAACTACAATGTTTCATAATCTAGTAGTCTTTGAAGAAAAACTATGATCTGGTTATGTAGAAGGACAATGAGGATCTCAAATGCATAGCCAAACACATTATTTTGTGAAGCCTTTCTCATCAAATTCTCTCTTAGTGTTTGCCTAAAAGGCTTTTTATTTAGCCATGCTTACATATTTTCACCTATGTGATGTGACTATCCAAGCAAGCATTACTTACCTAGAAAATTGATTCAGTGACAGAGAAATATGGAAAGTCAGTAGTTCAGTCATGATTTGCATGAAAAGCATGAAAGCTGTGAAAGCAAGGAAAGTTTTCATCCATGCTTTTCACTGAAAGAATGAGAACAGACACTGAACAGAAGTCTGGAGATAAGTAGAAACCACCTTCAGCTCTGACTCACTTCTGGTTTCAAACATAGCTTCTTTCTAGCTGGGGAACAGTGACTTTCTTACTCTTCCAGTCAGCTAGTGCTAATCAGACAGGAAAAACAATTCAGCTACATTAGATATGACTGGATAAAAACCACAGCACAGATTCCTCTCAGACCCCTGGAACAGTAAATCGATTGCTATCGCTGCAAAGCTATCTCGTTGTCTCTTTTGATTAAGGCATAGGTTATAAATATTTCCACAAATCATTCTTGATTATGGAGAACTAGCATAGATTTCCAGAGTCACTCTCTAAGATTTTATTTCAGTAGGTTTGAGGTCAGGCTTAGATATGCAAGACAAAGTAGAAAAAGGAAACTCTACTCTAAATGAAGAATGTTTTAATGGTAGCATTTTAGCTACTGCCATGAGTTAGAAGGAAAGTTTTTTTCACAAGTTCTGTTCATGAAACCTGGGTATTTCTTATCTGTAGTTGAAAGCTACAAGCACACTAATTATGTTATCTAGGACAACAGGGAGACATTGGAAAGCGCTTTCCACACAATCCAGGGAGTTCTTGAGCCATTTTTGTGCCACAAAACCATTGTTTTCCTGAACTTGGCCATTATACATACCACGTTTAAATTTTTTGGATCAGATCCAGTTAGGGTAAACAGGAAGTTGCTGCACACAAGATGGAATATCTTCTGGTTGCACACTTTGGTAGCAATAAATTGTTCAAAAAATGAGTGAGAAGAGAAGCTTTTGTCACCAAACAGTGCCTGAAAAATCAATTTACAGCACCATCAAGGTCCTTTGGATACCAAAAGTGGAGAATCTGTTCTAATTTTATTGGGGGCGGGGCTGGTTGTGGGCCTGAACCCTGGGCCTGGATGCTGTCCCTTAGCTCTTCAGCTCAAGGCTAGCGCTCTACCACTTGAGCCACAGCGCCACTTCCAGCTTTTATCCTTTTGCTTATGTGGTGCTGAGGAATCGAACCCAGGGCCTCATGCATGCAAGGCACTGAGCCACCTTCCCAGCCCAATCTGTTGTAATTTAGACCAGGACTCTGGCAGGAGGACCTCTAGCTCACGGTCTGCTCTCCCAGAGATGAGGAAGTTTCTTCAACTTTGCCTTTGTCATCCTTCCAACTCATCTATTGATACTTTCTCCCAAGAATCTTTCACTGAACTTTTGGCATGTTCCCTGAGAGAAGAATAATCTCTATGGGAAATTGGTAGGGACAAGTTATTATCTGAAACCTGTGCATATTACTCTTTATTTCACAATAGGTATTTAATAATCTTGGTAATAAACTAGACATAAAGTGAAAAGATCATTGTTAGTTCTTAAAATTTTGGAAACATCCCTTTACAATATTAACTAGCACACATTCCTTGTGAAATTCTGTATCAACTGATGATTATAGCCCAGCACAATAGCTAGCTTTTCATTTTACTGCACATTTATTATTACTGCAGTATGACTCCACATTCTCTTTGGTAGACTAGATTCAGTAAATTTCTGAGAGATATACTTTGTTGAATTTTGAGCCTCAAGGATAGGTATGTGGTAGGATTGAAAGCATTTCTTAGTTAATAGAACATTGACTATTCTATGAAACTTTAATAAAATATAAAATATTAGTACCTAATTAATATTCCTGTTAATATCAAAGAGAGAGAGAAGGAGGGAGAGTGGGGAGAAAGAACAAGGAAAAGAAAGAGCCAAGGATAAGGAAGAGACGGAGGGAAAGGTGAATAGGAAAAAGAGGGAAAGGGAAAGGAAAAGGACAAAGAAAAGCAAGTGTCGAGATCTGATATATTTAAATCGGTTTATATTTCTCAATTCTTCAGATCTGGAAAGTAATAATAAGCCATTACAGATACTAATTCATTCTATCTTCTTCATTATGGCATAATTACTGAGTACCTGGATAGTGTGCCAGATAATTGAGTTAACTTACTCACCAAACTGTAATTCATCCTATGTGATTATCCTCATAATTTGATAATGATAATAAAAATTCCTAGAGTAAGTTTATTTTTATAGAATGTTGCCATCTATTCAATACTGAAAAATGGGGTCGCTGGGCGCTGGTGGCTCACATCTGTAATCTTAGCGACTCAGGAGGCTGAGATCTGAGGATCACAGTTCAAAGCTAGCCCGGGCAGGAAAGTCTGTGAGAGTCTTATCTCCAATAAACCACTATGAGGATGTGGGGAGTAGGGTATCTTTACATGCTGTTGGTCAGCATGCAAATTAGCAAGCTATTCTGGAGACTACTCAAAAATATGATATCAGTCAATCAAATCATCTCTCCATTCACTGTGACAGAAGAGTGACTAAAGAGCTCATTCCAGACATAGATGAAGATACCAGCATGGAATGGCATGGGAATGAGTTCCCTGAACCCCACCGACAGTATTTCCTCAGTAGAGGACCACATGCATTTTCCTTGAGTACATAACTATATCTGCAAAATGCCATTCTCTTAAAACCCAGGGAAACAGAAATACTCACACTTCCTCCAGAATCAAATTCAGGGAGTTCACTTACCTTGATGGTTTTCCTAGAAAGGGCTGTGAGTTTTTTCATAGGACTTCGAGTGTGTTTTACTGTGACAACTGGAGCCAATGCAAAAAATATCTTAATTCTTTTAGCCAGTTCTGGGTTTGTTGAAAATGCTATGAAAGCTGAAGAATGCATTCGTTAATAGATTTAAAGGGAAGAATGCACTAGTTAACAGATTTAAAGTAATTGTATCTTCATTGTGATAATAAATGTAGTCACATTAAAAGACCCTACCAAGCAAAAACTACTCAGAACATGTATGGGGAAGTATCGGTAAATTTCTCAGGGATGGTACTGGCTAATTCAAAATAAAGCCTTTTGTCTTTGGGCTGAGTGTGCTCTATGGGGCATGTCTGGTTAAACTCCATGAATCACTGGGCTATGATGGTCTTCAATGGGCTATACACATGGCTCCTATTCACTAGTTGTATAAAAGTTACTTCCCCTATATAAGACTCAGGTTTCTCAATCTTTCAGTGGGGATAATAGAATCCTTAGAGGATGATTCATGTATGTGTATACATGAATATATACATATATACATGTATATATGTATATGCATACATATATAAAAGTATTATATAATGTTTTATAATACATTTTCTTAATCCATTCATCTACTGAGGCGCATCTGGGTTGGTTCCATATCTTAACTATGGTAAATAATGCTGCAATAAACATAGTTGTGCTGGTAGCTTTAGTATGGCCTTGTTTGTGATCATTTGGGTAAATGCCCAAAAATGGGATAGGCTGGGTTATAGGGGAGCTCTATGTGGAGTCTTTTGAGGAACATTCATGCTGCTTCTCAAAGTGGGTGAACAAGTTTACATTCCCACCAACAATGAAGTAAGGTTCCCTTCTGGCCACGTCCCCTCCAGCATCTGTTGTTATTAGAGTTCTTGATTATAGCCATTCTAACTGGGGTGAGGTGGAATCTCACTGTTGTTTTGATTTACATTCCTTTTATGGCTAGAGAGGTTGAGCATTTCTTCATGTGTCAATTGACCATTCTTATTTCCTCTTCAGAGAAGTCTCTCTTTAAGTCATTAGTCCACTTATTAATGTGGTGATTATTTCTTTGAGGATTTGTTGTTGGGGGATTTAATTTTTTTGAGTTCTAAGTATATTTTAGATATGAGACCCTTGTCCGTTGTATGGCTAGTGAAGATCTTCTCCCAATCCGTGGGCTTTCTTTTGATCTTGCTAGCTATGTCCTTTGCCATGCAGAAGCTTTGCAACTTCATGCAATCCCATTTGTCCAACCTTTCTTTGATTTGTTGTGTTTCTAGGTCTCTATTAAGAAAATTTTGGCCTGTGCCAAGGAGACTAGGGTTTTTCTTATTCCTTCCTGTAATGTTTTCAGGGTGTCTGCTTTGACTCTGAGGTCTGTGATCCATTTGGAGTTGATTTTGGTGCAGGATGATATATACAGATATAGCTTTAGAAAATGTGGTATTTATATATATATTTACATATATTTATATATTATATAATATATAATATGCATTTGTATATTTATATGTATTATATATGTAATTATATAATATATATTTATGTATATATAATATATAATATGTTATTATACGGTAATACTATAATACTTTATAATATATAATATTATAATATGTAGTTATAATATTATATAATATATTTTTACATAATATATAATTATATAATATAATAGATATAGATATATTATATAATATATAAGTATATAAATATATTTAACACATTTTCTAAAGCTATATATGTATATACATACATATATATAGGAATTCTATGCCTCCATCAGAAAGAATGACATCACCCCATTTATTAAGAAATGGGAAGACTTGGAAAAATTATATTAAGTGAAGTAAGCCAGGCCCAAAGAGCCATAGATCCCATAACTAGTATAAGTCTAGGACAAGCAGAAAAGGTCAAAAGCTATGTGCATATGACTAGATAAGATGATGTTAAATGAAATGAACCCTAAGGAACACAAGTGATTTTTTCTTTCTTTCTATTGTTTCTAACATATTTATAATGTACCATGTGATTTTTTTGTTTCTTTTTATGTTCCTCCCCCATGGTATAACTCCTGTTTTCACTGTATTTGATGTCGGTGCCCTGCATCTTGTATATACACTTCTCTAATTTGGGGAGGGGAAGGGAAAAAAACAAAATGCTTAAATAAGGATACAGGTTGACCTATTGTAATAATGAGATACACAAGACACTATGTTAAAAAATGAACTTTACAATTGAGGTGGGTGAGGGAGGTGGAGGGCAGGGAGATGGAGGAGTTGAGGAGGTGGGAGGGGAAAAACAAAGGAGGAGGCAACAATGCTCAATAGGAAATGTACTCTCTACCTTGCTCATGTAACTGTAACCCCTCTGTACAGTATTTACAATAAAAGCATTGTATTTTATAATACAAAGACATGTATGAATACTTATGTATATACATCTATAAAAGGTGTTCTTCACAGTGAGAATGGATGGCATATTTAATCTCTATTTCCCCTATATGTAAACTAGTGGCACACAATATTTGTTGGATATAGAAATGGATAAATAAATAATTATCTCTCAGGCCTATGGACCTCCAAATTCACGTTGGGGAAAAACTTTCCTGCTATCATCCCTGTTTAACTTACTCTGGATTAACCAGATAAAGGAAATATATTATACATGCAAATACATTATATGCATATATTTTATACTTATATTGATACTATAGTATATATTTATAAGTAGATTCTTTTAGTTAAGCTCCATAAGGTAGAGTCTCTAGATAGAAATATTGACCCTGGAAGAGGGCCCCAACATCAGACCATCACATTTTCCCCCAAAAGTACCTATGGTAGTGCCTTGAGAGTGGCCCACATAGTAGAGCTGCTCCTGTCCAGTTTTTTCTATGATTAAATTGATTGTAGCTGGAAGGTCATATTTTGCCATCTCATCCAAACTGTTAAGAAAACAAACACAAAATCTGAAAAGAGATACCTATTTTAGACCTGTAAGATTCAAATACAGTCATTGCTCTCATAGACATTCTGCTTTGGTAAAATGAGAGAAGAATAAATGTGATACTATTGTATCTCGGCAAACTTTCCAATTAGGTTTTGGCTGCAATGCCTAACACTTTTAGGAAGTCAGAATAAAAATGTGTTCTGATTTGAAAGTCCTATTGATGATGATTTTTCTGTGAGGCTAAGTCATGTAATTCCATAGTCAATTTACCAAAACCTAATTGTTTTGAATCCTCATCTAAAAACAGAATAACAAATAAATGGATTTGAAAAACTCATCCACTAAGTCAGAATTTTCAGGACAGAGTGTTGGTAATCTTCATATTGATCAATGGCCTCAGATGTTCCTGATCCAGTATATAGTTTGGAAAACACTCACTTACAGAATTACCTTGTCATCTGCAAAACTGCAAGGACACAACACACTAGGGTGTGAAATTGAGAAATGAAAAATGGCTTCCAGAAAGAAAATAGAAATGAGGCCATGGAACACAGGGCTTTAGTGACCTAGAAGGCTTGCTTTTTAGCTCCTGGATAAACACATGAGTTTGTCTCTGTAAGCCAGCAGATCAAGGCTCAGGAAAGCAGATAGCACCCTAGGCACCCATGCAGACAACACTCTTGGTATTGAACTATTCTGTGCCCAGAATACACACATAACACACCACACCACAACAGGAAAGAAGCAGGGATTTGAAAACAAACAGCAATACATAATAAGGGCACTTCTGAACTTAAAAAAAAGCACCATCTGTTTATGTATATAAACAAACAAAATACACAGTTGATTTATTTGGTTCCCTTTTACCTGAAGGCCCAATAGTCAGATGATTTGGGTGAGAGTGTTACGTGTTTCCTGGACCAGGTATTTCCCCTGCTATTTCCCAACCATACATCATAACCGTGATCTGCCAGAAGGAAAGCCAAGCTGTTGTTGGGCAGGTTGCAAATCCAGTTACTGGCAGATGCAAGTAAGCCATGTTGCAGATACACAACAGGCCTGGAAGCTGCAACACAAAGAGAACAAGGATTTCATGTCTGAGCTTCCTCATTGTTCGCATGAGAACTTTTACTTCTTCTATTACAGAAGAGAGATTAAGAGAGAAAAGTTGGTTCCAGAAAAACTTGAGATCTAGTCTTTTCTGACTGCTTTACATAGATAATTGTCTTCTCTATATCTTATTTTTCCTCTTTATAAAATTGAAACTACATATGTTGTATTATGAAGATATTGGAGTCACAGTGCCCAGGTTCAAATCTTTTTTTCTATATATTTACCCCTTTGTGTTTCAATCAACTTACTAATATAAGGGAAATAATAATTAGTACTGTCTGATAGGTTGTTATAAGAATCCGATGATAGTAAAATACAGAAAAACTAATGTTAACTGTTATTTGTAGTTATGGTATTTTATTTCTCAAGAAGGAGCTTATTGCCAAATTTTAATTTTTTTCTGAAAACAATAAAACAATAATACAATGCCATTTGTTAAAACCCTGGCAACTGTGCTAGATTTTATAGGCACTATTACATTTCATTTGAATGATTAGAAAACAAAGTGCAAGGTTATATGTAGAATTTCACACAATGTAAAATAGTTGATTTGATGTTAATGCTCATTCCCCATGTAGAATTTTAATACCTTAAGAAAGATTAAAGAAAAATAAGGAAATTGGAAAGAAGAGGGACTAAGTTTTTCTTCTCCTTTATAAATCTACTGGGAACGATGTAAATTATTTGCATATGAGCAGTTTGAATTTGTATACAAATCATTTGTACAAACTTGTTTTGGTACCTCAAGACTCTATGGCAGGAGCTGGAGACCTGGCTCTGGCAGTACAGTGCTTCCCCCTGAGTAGAAGCCACAGCACTGCTCCTCTACCCCAGTCTGCCCCCAAAGGAAGAAGACTCTATGTCAGATCATTGTCAACTGACATCCTGAGATTATGGAGGCTAACTGAATTTTCAGAGTGACTTCAGCTTTCTGAGTGACTTCAGCCTTCTGGAAGCTAGGAACTCAGTTTCCCTCAATTGATCTACAGTTAGATAGGGTAAGTAGATGTTATTCCCTGATAAAGTTAAGCACTGCCAAGTAGCTGCCATAGTCCAGAATCTTTGCTCTGAAGTATTCTGCATGTTTCCATTGAAGTGATTTCATCCAGTACATTTAGGTGCTTATGTATTACAAATGTAAAGATTTAAAATAGTCTCATGAATATTCACAAAATTGATTCGTTATTCTGGGAAATGGAGGGTTCTACAAAGTCAACATCACCTTTTCTTTCACTCTTTCGATATTGGGGTTTGTTCTCAAATGTGCCAAAATATTTTTTAAAGCTAAAATGTGTGAGTGATCTGCTAAACAGCTCACTTTTTTTTTCTACAGAGAACAACTTGTATCATAAGGCTCGTTAATGTACTTTATGATGAAAACTATTAAGGTCATATTTACTCTAAAAGATAAATGTACCGTAAGGCTCTTTAATGAAATTTATGACAAAAACTATTAAAGTCATATTTACTCTGAAAAATAAAATCCCAGTGATGGGCAGAGAAGTAATTATATGCAGATTGATATAGCTAGAAATCATCATAGCAGTTGAAGAGATTATGTCCAAACTTGAATCTGGTAAAAGTTTTCAGATTAGAGAGAAATTTTAGAAGGCAAAATGGATAGATATTGGTAATAGACCACATGCAGGAGATGGGTGAAAGTGATTTTAAGGATGACTCTTACAGAGGTGTCAATAGAATAAGAATATATTTTCTTTTATTATTATGATTCTTCAGAGAAAAAAAGAAAGACATGGAATACAAAAAACCAAATAAGAGAGTATATAAAATGGCTTAAAATTTCAAAGAGTTCTACTGATTAAATAGAAATGTGGGAGTGGTGAAAGAACCATCACCTATTTCAGAACAAAAGCCTTGGTGCTGCTCTCAGGACATCTCTGCTCAGCATACTTTTATTTCGTAACAAAACAAATCATTACCTGTTTTTCTCAGGCATCCTCTTCCGTGAGTAATTCTATAAATTCCAAGGATATAACCATCCTTGGTCACAACTTCATACTTTTCATGAGGATAACCCCAGTAAGAAATAATTTGACTCTAAAAAGGGGAGAAAAATGTAGAACGTGATGATGTAATCTTCTAGTGTTTATACATGCACTGTCATACTTTGAATTACAGTTTAGTTCATCAATCAATGTGTTGGGACAGCACATAATGGAAAATTGGGATGATTTGACAGACTTTCTAGTTGCATGTATAAGTGTGGGCAAGGAGGGGTATGATGACACTACATTCCAGTTTACTGAAGATAACCTCTGGTTTAGCTTAATGTGATCAAAATGACTTTATTGTCAGCATGTTTAGACAAAGATTGATAGCCATCTAGTGAGAGAGACCACAGGGATTATGGAGAACCCTGCAGCTGGTAATCCATGAACTGTTAACAATTTATATGGGAAGGGAGATGGAAGGAAGTGTTTTTCAGAATCTAAAAAAACTGAAGTAGAGAGGGTCATATCCAAAGAGATGCCCTGTCTACATTGATGTCCCAGGACAGAAAGATACAGGGCAATATAAATCTGATCTCATTCTCCTTGTGCCCTCCCATGTCCTGTTCAAGATTTTCACTGACTACATGGATCTGAGAATCAAATCAAAGGTAAAGGGAGCTATTTGATCTAATTCTTACAGGTTAACTTCTTGAGCTGGGGGATGGGAGGTATGGGCGGGGGGGGGGAGGGGGGGTGGAAACCAATAAAGAGTTAGAAAGGTCAACAGAAGTTACCCCATCTGAAAACTGGTAATGTCTTAAGCATCCATATGAGAGACCTCTGAGATAGAATTAAAAAATGGGTAAACTGAAGTTCAGGAAGATTAATAATTTGTCACAGATTGCACACTAGGAAGAGATACAGACAAAAATAATGATAAAGTGAGACATGCCTTTATAAAAAGTTTATGCTTGCTCACGTCAAGCATAAAAGTACATGCATAGGTTAGGAGTTACAGAGGAGAATGGTTAAAAGCCCAGATTCTGGAAACAGATGGCATGGGGCTGAATGCCTTCCTTTCCTTTTAATTATTCTATGAAATAAAACATATAATACGCTGGGCACCAGTGGCTCATGCCTATAATCCTAGCTATTCAGGAAGCTGAGATCTGAGGATGGCGGTTCAAAGCTAGCCCAGGCAGGAAAGTCCATGAGACTCTTATCTCCAATTAACCACCAGAAACATAGAAGTGGTACTGTGGCTCAAGTGGTAGAGCACTTGCCTTGAGCTGAAGAGCTGAGGGACAGATCCAAGGCCCAGAGTTCAAGCCCCATGACAGACAAAAAACAAAAACAAAAACATATAGTAGGTATTTGTCATTTGTCTTCCCACTGACTCCCAGTACCATTCCACTCCCTTTCTGACATGAAAAATTCCTTCTACTTAGGACACTTTGGTTATAAGCTGGAATATCAAAGCTTGAGTTACAAAACCTAAAAACTATAGCTCACAAAAATCAAAGAACTAACTCAAGAATACACTGTAGGAATAATTAACATTAACTTAATAATCTTCTCTCCATTAATCCATAATTAGATGGCAGCTCAAAACACCAGGAAATGAAAATTTGTCATTCCAACTAAGCTCAAATATTTTAACTCTTAGGTTAATCATGCCAAGGAATGGGGAGAAAGCAAAGATTTCATCGTAGGGGTAACTGTTGAAAACTAGACTGGTTATACCAATTGTATCTGAAATAATGATAACTTGATAATTCCCTTTGTTTGTGGGTTTTTCCTCAATCATTGACTTACAATATTCATAGTAGCTTCAGGATTTGTGATACTTCTTTTCTTATAACCATATACAGGTCCAAGAAGAAGCATCCAGCATGTTGCTGCTAACAGCTGCCACATTTGGAGTCTGCCTGAGAAAGGAAAGGTTAAGGTACTTGTCATTGAAGAGAAATTGCACAAAATGAAATTCTGTGTATTTTTTTTATAGCCTTGCTTTAGGAAGGAACAGAAACATACACTTCTAGATTGTGCTTTAGCAGCTGATATACTGAATTATCCAGGATTTATTCCATGAAAAACCTTAAATGGTAACCTTTTAAGAAAAGGAAAGCCGGGCGCCGTTGGTATCCTAGCTACTCAGGAGGCTGAGATCTGAGGATGGCGGTTCAAAGCCAGACCTGGCAGGAAAGTCCATGAGACTCTTCAATAAACCACTTGAAAACCGGAAGTGGTGCTGTGGCTCAAGTAGTAGAGCGCTGGCCTTGAGCTGAAGAGCTGAGGGACAGCACCCAAGCCCAGAGTTCAAGTCCCACGACCGACCAGAAAAAGAAAAGGAAATTAATGAAAGAAGGAAGAAAGATAGGAAGAAAGGAAAGAAAAAGGAGAGAAAGAGAGGGAGGAAAAGATCAGCAAGCAACTGTGGAAAAGAAAGACATACATAGTTTTCAGAGAAAGACATATTAGTGGCTAAATACAAATCTATTACTAGCCATCAGATTCAAATTGTGTGTGTGTGTGTGTGTGTGTGTGTGTGTGTGTGTGTGTGTGTGTGTGTGTGTAAAATGCTGGGTATTGAGCCCAGGACCTTCCTCAAGCTACCTAGACAAATCCTTTACCACGAAGTAGTACTCTGGAACCAATGAATAACTTGTTGCTGTTATTTTCTCTGAAACAATAAGCAACATCTTCATGGAAAGAAATGTGTTAACATATCTTACAATTTAAGCACATTCATGTTTTTCACTCAATAGTTTTATTTTGAGAAATCCGTTTAAAGGATAAAAAGGTCTATATAAGCACCACATCTTAACTTTTTATTTATAGCATGTCTTAGTGTATTAAAGGTTCCAGAATACAATATTATACAATATATGATAGATGAGGAAGAAGAGAATTACTATGATTATGTGTGATATGTAAGGAATCTCAATATGTATTTCTAAGGGGAAAGCAGAATGCATATCATGTGTTCATTTTGTTTTCAACAACAAAACAAATTGTAAAGAAAGGAAACATCATATAGAAAGGCTGAACACTAATTTAAATTATGATCACATCTAGATGGAGACTATTTGAATGATAAAGTCATTTTAAAGTCTTTTTCATATTTTCTAATGTTATTGCAGATATTACTTTGTTGTAAGAAAGAAGCTATTGCTACAATAAAAATGAAGCAGCATTGTGGCCATTATGGGGAAATAGATTATGATTATTTCTTCCTGAGCTTAGAAATGTGGGAAAGTCAACAGCAAACAACCCAATCACTTCACAGAATTATGAGAGAAAAATCTTTTGTACTGTTGTCTTAGAAGATTCAGATCTTGAAATCATGTTAGTGAATATACTCTATTCTGCTTATCTATGCATTTCTTTTCCAGTAAGGGAAAATGGAAGTCTAACCCTATAGAAAAGGGATGAATTTTTCATATACTGATATAATGATCTTCACTATTTTGTTTCATGTTTTCTCTCGGACTTTGCCAAAATCACAATATCTATCGATTAAATATACCAATACATACTAATGTACGTGAGATATTCTACAGTTAACATAATGAATGATATTTAAATTCTATATATAATATGCAACTGTATGTTAATATGTCAGCATAGATTAACATAGCTCAATTGTGGTCATTATTGGTAAAATAGAACCATAACATTTACTATTATTATAGCTATATGTTAACACCTCTTATGTCCAAGTTTTGTGTCAGACATATAATATCTAATTCTGTTCTCAAGATAATTCAAATGATTTAAAAATATTAGCTTATATTATTTAAAATGAAACTGGCTCCTACAGAGGTCAGATAATCTGTTGGAGGTAAACAGTCGTGGAAGTAAACTCAACTCAGATTGCCTGGCTTTGGAAGAAATGTTTGTTTGCACATTCTATATGGATTGACTAAGGCATTCTAGATACATGCTGGATGAGTGTTTTTCTGTCATAAGTAGACCACATCTGCAAAATGATCATTAAATACAATGGGTGAATGGTGAGGTTGAAGGAGAATATATTTGATTATAACGTTTTATATACCTGTGTAAAAATGCTGGAGGAGATGAGTCTAAATAGAATACATTGTATACAATATAGACTTATCAAAAAAGAACTCCCTTGTATGATGTTAAATAAGAAATGTGGACAAAGTCTCAAATCCAGTGAAAACTCTTAGACACCGTAGTGGATCAATGGAGTGAAAATCATCTTGGGGCAGGACAAGCAGAAGTTGTCCAGTAATCTATATGTTAAACTGTCCTTACAGGTGTTTCCTATGCATTTCCAAGTTTGAAAAATAACTGGACTGATTGTACTCCTTGAGAAGATCAACTATTTCATTTCCATTCCTCTCTGTCCAAGATCTAGCATGGAGGTATTTATAAATGTTTGTCAGATAAATAGATGGGTGAGTATATGATTAGCTTATTTAATCTTACTATGTCAAATAGATTCCAGATTGTTTCATACTTTTCTCACTTGACTTCATTTTAACCTTTCCTCATGGGTTCCTCCCTGACCATAAGCTTTGAAAATTGTCCTTAAATCAGTACTGTATCTTAAGGTCAGGTAATAGTAATGTCTTTAAAAATGCCACTGACTATTTAGATGTTCTGGTATTTAGCTGAGCAATTTATTTTGAGATTTCTGAGTCACAATCACTGGCAAGTGAAGTTAGGGTCCTTGCGGTAGTACAGATTAGCTCTCTTCTGAAATGGTTCAGTTGGAGATCCCATGGGAATTCGTAATGGTGCAGGGAGAAAGGTATCCACTGGCTTGCTCAATATACTGCTTGTAAGAACTGAAACCTAGTCTTAGGCAGTGACCCAGAAAGGTCGTCTTTGTGGCAGCTTGTCTTTTGCAGCCACAACACAGATTCTATCAGCTATCTTTGTTTTAATCTTTCCTGTAATGGAGCCTCTGTGTACCATTTTTTAAAGGAGTGGTAGGCCCAGTCCAAACAGCTCCTTTTCATTCTAGTGTTGTGATGATCAGCTTGGCCCTATCTGGGTGTCACGATAGTAACTATAATTATTATAGCTGTAAAGTCTGGTGACTGATGTCCACTTTCTTAATGATGTCCTTTTTATTTCTTTGACTTATTTCCATGACAGCTCCTTGATGAAGGTTGTCCTCTACAGTGTCCTATATCAGTGGATTTCTGGTTCACAGTAGGTCTATAAAGATGATAGACTTCCAAAAGAGTAGATATTATGAAGAGATCATCAATCTTTAATTATGAGATTTCCATCCTCTGTACCGAAACTGAGCCAATATAGATTATCATAGATATACTCTGTAATGAGTTATATGGCTTTATCACTCTGAAACAGAATTCATACTGCTTCACTGCAAAATAGACTCCTAGGGATATTTGTTCAAAGGTCTTATATGAAAATGTGCTAGAACACATATATGCATACACACATGTGTGCATAAGCATCTATATCATTCACTACACTTGTGTATATAAAAGTTACACATGTGAGACTTACAATGTCACAGGTAAGGCTTAGGAAAGTGTTAATATCCAGTTGTTAATTTTGTTTATTCTGTTTTCAAGTTTTATTGGCCTTATCATTTATTATTTAAGTGAAACCAACTAAACATAAAGGACATTTTAGGGGAAAAAAGAGGAGTAACCCCAAATCAGAACCAATTTTCAAAAGTTTCTTCAGGCACATCCCTCCATAATGGAGACCCTGTACGAACATATCTGAATTTATATGGAAAAACAGAATATGAAGAATGTGACAAATTATAAGATTCTACAATTGTTCAGAGAGCTCCCTTCTCTAATAATCACTATTTTTTTACCTGGAACTATGATAGCCAGGGTGAACTGTGCAACTGTCAAAAGAATATTGTCTTGCTGCATCTTTGTTTTCATACTGAATTTATATATATATTTTAGATCAAATACAGATAGCTCATATGTAGGCAGTTCTCAGAAGAAATGCCTCTGACACACAGACATTGATGAGGAAAGCAGTGACACTTATTGCTCAATGAAACATGACCGGAAATTATAACGATTTTTGATTGCCTGTGTTTCATTTTCCTATGACAAGATTTATCAATGAGATATGCAATTAGAGCTTATGACTATGCTCAGGAAGCATTCATGATTAACCCACATTCTAATTCTCTAGAGTGCTCACTTATGAAAGGGAGAATTGAACAGACTAGGCAGGCACAGATACTTTGGTTTGACAAACATAAAGGCAGTGTCTACAGATGGCTCTGTAATGAATCTGAATTCACTCACTTGTCAAGAAGCTAATGAGAACTGCTTTCTGATAGATTTTAAGTTTGAATTTGGGCTCTGTCTTTCAGAGCTTTCAGATCCTCACCCTCAGAGAGCAGAACTGACTGACCAGTGACCACAGCTCTACATTTCCCAAATCTATCACTGCATTGTCGACAAGTGCGGGCTCTCATTGTTATTATTAGTTGTGTGACTTTGGAAGTCCATTTAATTTCCTGACACTTAGTTTCTTTATCTATGTCACTGAAATAATACCACCTACCTATAAGGTTTAGCATATGATTATACGAATGATGTGACAAATAAGATGGCACATAATATCTATATCTATAAAATATCTGATGATTCCTGGCTCTTAACAAAGACATATATATATATATATATATATATATATATATATATATATATATATATATAGCTATAGCATCTCTACTATTTAGTGATTCTTTCAGGTATGTTATATTTGGCTCTCTAACTGATCTGTGGGCTATTTAATAACAACAACAGCCATTTATTTTCTGCCTATATTTAGAATGTCGTATGCTTAGCTTTTGGTACACAAGGTATCAGTAGGCATAGAAAACACTTGAGCTATGTATTTCTCTATATTTTCTAGTGAGATAATGGCAGAAAACTATGAC